AAAATGGATGATATCCATGCATTCTCCTTATATAACGGTTTGGTTAAAAATTGCAAAAAGTGCGATAACCCACTAAATGAATACGTCAGTAGTATTAAATTACAAAACCAAGAGGGTTCGAAAGGGATTCAAAGGAATCGTTGTACAAATTGGACAATAGCCGTGCCACCGCGTGATGTTCTATATCCCAGAAGTTCCTGGACCAATTTAAAATTCGAATGTATCATTAAATAGCATGGCGCGAAATCGATTCTATGCGAATACTCGTGTGAATGTCAGTATGTGAGTTCCCAAGTATACTTTAGTAAAAGTTAATGCAATAATTATAGACCTTCCCCAGCTTAAATATATCCCTTTTTAGTGAATTCCGACTTTTCACCTGATTTTAAACTCTTTGTAATGTGCAATATTTACCGGAACTGACTGGATGTGTTGTCTTAAACATAATGTGGTTTAGGGTTGAGTATGAAAGAAATTAGTCTATATGACATATCCTTAATATAATGATCTCAGAGTTTCTTAGTTGACTTTTTCCTGATATTTTTAATATATTAAATTTAGCCCTTCTGGGTTAAATTCATATCACATACTTCTCATTTCAGTAAATTAGGTTCATTTAATGTAAATGTTTCGGGCACGAAGAAAATATGTTGTAATGAAACTAAGTGTGTCTATGACCTATAATATAAGTGAATAAGATACTTGTATGAATGTATGTATAATTGTAGTCTATTCACGGTATCGTCAAATAATTAATGTTAAATACTTACGCAACATTTTTTTGTACAAAGGCAATACCTGAACCAGCTTTGATTCTTGCAATTGCGAGAGTTAAAATGTTAAGTTAAATCGGCCCTTCCTTAAGTGTTATAATAGCTATCGGTCGGGTTTTGGCAATCGGCACATATAGGAGATTGTGCAATCGCTGAGTATGCATTTTGGAAATATAATTGTTAACTTATACTATACCAGCCCAAAACTCTGGTAACTAACTAGATATGAGATCATGAAGATGAAACGTGGCAGTACGTGTAAATGTATCTAAATTTTTACGCAAATTATGGTTTAAACGGACAAATCGGACGAATAGACAGACATGCGGAATTCAATTCGTCCCGCCATCCTTATCATTTTGACATCTATATCGATTAGTTTTAGGTGTTACAAACAACCGTTAGTTGAACAGAACGTGTAATAACCTGAGCAGCGTGTTTGCAAGTGTATAAGAATAGGTAAACTATGAAATATAATAGAAAGTAGTGTTTAAGAATTAATTTTAAACTTTTTAACAAGGAAAAATATAATCGAAGAACATTAAAACAAGGCAGAAAAGCTTACACGTTATTAAATAATTATAATAAAATGCTATAAAAACATTGCTCATTCTTAGGATATTGATTGCATTATTCATATGCATATGTGTATAACATATTATTATAAGTGATCTTTTACGGTATAATATTTCATTTCTACATTTTCATATATGACTCAAATAGCTGAGAAAATAGAATAACTGTTACCAAATTTTTATAAACTAATCGTAAATAAATGTGGTTAAGTTCAATTTTCTCGGCGCATTCGTTGGTATAGTAATTCAAATTGTGTGCAATGTTGCAGATTCAGTAAAAATCTAAATCTATAGTGTTTCAACTTAAGTGCTGCAGGTTCTAAGCAATTTATTGCCATATTCAGCTTTTAAGAAGTTTTTCGAAATTTATTTACAATCAAACCCTTTGATGGTTCTCCAGATTCGCTTCGTTGGTGTACTGAAATTAATAGTTGATCAAAAAATCAAATATTAAAATATTATTTAAACATATTATATTTTTTATTGACTTACCAGTTTTTGATAAGGATGTCGTATTCACCAAATTAAACGAACCCCGCAGCTTAACGTTTGAATTATATAATACATAAATCAGAATAATACAGAATATAATTTCTGTGATTAAGAATCGATTAATATTTCGCTCAACCTTATTCGGAAAGGTTTAAGCATATTTGCATCGTTCAAAGTTCATAAGGTATATTTGCACAGCCTTTCACGCATATTAAATTTCGTCTTTAAATTCAGAAGAGGATGAATTAGAATGGCTTAAATTGAATTTAATATCATATCATAATACCAATTCAATAGGTTCAATGTTCATAACTCTGATTTTTTTAAGGTAATAAGACTTGTTAATATTTGATTTTTTATTCGGTGTTTTTGCCAATTATGCCTATTTAAGTATATATAATATGTACATATATTTACTCAAACTATCGCTTGTACTATCGCAAATAGCATGATTGTGGCAGACTTTTTGGTCAAACACAAAACGAGAGTCATCGTTCAGCCACCGTATTCTCCAGAAATTGGCTCTCTTTGTTTCTTTTGTTTTGAAACTGGAAATCCGCTTCGGAATTTTATTTTCCCGATGAAAATGTTGCCTTATTATTGTATATGGTAACAATATAAAACTGTTCCATATTTTCCATGACAAAAGATCAAAAAAACGCCAAACAACTCTAAACGCTATTAAACTACTACACCCAAAGTTGATAGCATACAAGATTACGATAACGGTTGACGTCATAGAACCATCATTGTCATACCTAGAGTGTTCCACTATATTAGTTCCCTCCGTCTTAAGTTTGGCAAGGTTGTACGAAATTTTTAAATATTAGTTAAATTAATTCCTCATTTCGAATTTTCAAAATCGAGTTTCACAAAATGTAAGACTTTATCACTTCAGAAACGCAATTGATCTTATGGAAAAATGTGTACAAATCGATTCTCATGTTCGTTCGTTCGTTGTAAAATATCTTCTTTGAAGAGCGTCTTACTCAAATATGATTGATTTTATAGTTTAACAGAGAAATTAAGATACATTTTTAGTTAAGACATCGCATAACAGTGTTATATTATTTAATCGAAAGTGACACATTTCAAATAATATAGATGATGAAACTCATTTTTTTTCAGATAAAGAGACGCAACGCATAATACAGCAGAAAATTTACGATTATACAACTACAAATAGTACCCTTTGGTTGACACTGCACAAGCGAAGCAAACGACGCAATTAAGACAAAAATAGACCTAACGACACTGAAATTTGTTGGGTAGGTAGATAGGTGTGTTACGAATTGATATAAGTAGTGAAAATATTTTATTTTGAAAATTGTTGGGTTATGGCTATTTTGTAGTTAGTGTGCGATATGATTTCAAAGTTGTCGTAACCTTAACCCTTAAAAGCCTGATAACTCTGATTCATTCGAAATTTTATATATGTGTTATAATTGCCGGTTACAAACAGCATTTGTTCCACGATTTTTTTTAAAGATTAGTCTTCTAAATTTTACAGGGTTTTATTGGTTGGTCCTTTGAGAAACCACTAGATACTCATTTTAAGTATAAATTTTTACAAATATTCATATTTTATTGAAATTTGATTAAAATGATTAGTAAACTGATAACAGATACATTAGTAAGAATAGAAATCTAGAATACAATTTTGCTATAACGATAAACAAAGATTTTTATGCAATAAATTTACGTACGTGCGTACTGATGAGCACCTGACGCTTCCTCAAGGGACCATTTAAGTTTTATTTCATAAAATTAAAATTCAGTTTTATTTCATAAAATTTAAATGTAAATTTGTAATTTGTTTGTTTTATCAACACTTACATCAAATTAAATTGTAATAACGATGAAGATTCAGCACTAATTAATTACTATTACTTTCGCACTAGTCACTAAATTACTACAAAGCGCACACACAAGTGGTGAGTGAACTAAAAGTTAACGGATATATAAAAGCAAAATGTCACGTAATGTAATATTTAAAAATGCATATGCAAATACATGAAAATTTTACAAAAATAGCGGTTGATTACTGGAGGAACCACCAGGCGTTTAATGGTTATGTTTGTAGCAGCTACTAGCTGCTAGCTATCCAGAAGAACAACACTGATCGAATTGATAAGCAAATATTTCTATAAGTCATTTTCAAAATTCACTGTATTGAATAGTTTATTATAATTGTATATTGTAGCCACAATAACAGGGGGCACGATCTACTAGTTTAGATATAATATAAAGATCAAACTTCACACGAGCATAAAAAAGTTTACACCAATCTAGGAAAAAAAATATTTATCGATTCGGTTTGTGCGCACAGTTTAAATATACCAGTCCGGCCTAAATTTAATCTTGAGTATACATCATAACATAGTATATATAACCGTGTTTCTATTCATTAGAAATGTTGGTCTACGGATTCCTCGTTGGCTCCGGGGGATTATAACCGGGCTATATATATTTTGCATTTTGCTGAGACCAATTTTGACAAGATGGCTTTCTGAATGTAGGTTCAAATGGTAGTTGACGACGTTACCATCTGCAGTGTCAATCAGATGGTTGAATAAGTAGTAGCCTTTGTAATTGCTCTGCCGTTTTCTATTAGTGTTTCACACTAAATATAATAAAATCTGGGATGTTAAGGATTGACCTACTAATTCAGTATCTCATTATAATCAAGTTGTTCTGTGAAACAGGTTTTATATCTCTTCCATCTGTTCGAATTTTCCTAAATTTTCCCAAATGCGTTATCTCCGTTTCCATTTCTTAAGTACTATAATATATCACTTTCAATGCAAAACGTCGATTTTTTTGGTAACCTTTATATAAAAGTACATAGCTACCTTATTTTTTTTTTTGAATATGTGCATATGTGTGTATGCATGAATTTGAATAGACACTTTCTAATATGCTATAAATATTATTTAAAATTCACTCTTTACATTCTAATAAAAAAATTGCAACACGTTTGAGGTAAGAATGATTTTATTTTTAAATTTGTATATTTACTACCATATATATGTGTACATAGGTATTTAATGCTCAGGTTGTTAAACTAACGTGCGCAAGCTCAGTGTGTTCTCACCTGTTTTTACGAATACGAAATTGAAATTTGTATATTTTCTTTCTTTTTTTTCTCCATTGTTCTTAGGAGATTGTAACAGATCACTCATTAGATCCATGCAAAAAGGTGGGTATGTACTATAAATTTATAAATAGTATTGTTGATGAATATTCGTTCACAGAGTTGCCTTGCAAATCCACATAACTCCAATTCCAATTTGCGTGCTCTAGCAGAGGAGGTAGCCGAAAAACATGATGAAATCTGTGACTTAAGGCGACAAATTTCCTGCTTAGAGGAGGAAATACAGAAGGCGCAACAAAAGATTCAACTAAAGGACAATGTTATAAAAGAGTTGCGAAATGATTTGAAATGTGTCAACACCAAGGTCTCTAAATCACATGTGTTTGAATTCATACTTCAGATTTTGAAATTTTTGTCGTTTTGACATACTTGTGTATTAAAACAAACATAAATTCGTCTTAAAAATTCACTTTTTTCTTAATTCATTTTCTTAAACAAAATTTGTTTCAAAACATCAAAGTTTTCTTTTCCTTAAACTCCTTTTGACACTATTTTGTGTCTTTGTTCAAAACGGATTTAGTTTTGGCTATAAAATCTTCACTATCTTTGTTTATTACCATTCCATAAGCTAATTGATAACGGTTCGGATATTTGTGGTACATGTGGCGAAGCATCGTCTAATTTTAGTATGCCACCGATCAACTTGGAAGAACTGTCGTCCCGGAGTGCTTCGACACAAGTTTCTGCTGGTTTAAAATCATGCAACCAGGTACGTCTCGCTTTTTAAATATAAAAATATGCATCTGTATATATAAAAAGAATATCTTATAGTTCTCATTTATTGCTGAAAACTTGTCATATGATTCATTGAGTAATGCCGGTCAAGTGGAACAACAAAAATTAAAAGCTCTCGAAATTGAATTAAACGAACTTTTTCATGTTACTAAGGAGTTTAAAAGCCAAAATCTGGAATACCATCGAAAGCGGCTGTCGGATATTTTGAAAAAATCAGTAAATTGAGTGATACAATTAAATAATAAATTTAAAAATGACTAAAACTGTAATATATTCTTAGGAAAGTGAAAAAGCAGAAGCCTATAGAAAGTTAGACTCCATTCGCAAGCAACTCATTAATTTAGAAGCTTCTACCGCATTGTCATTTAAGAGCTGTTGCAATGATTCTGATTCAGGTTTAAGCTCCAAATGCGACAGTGACCAGGATGCTAAGATATTTGATGCTCTTCGAAATCGTTTACAACGTCTTAATGAAATGAACACGGCATTGAATCATCGCGTTCAAGCGCTCACAATTGAAAATAATGGTAAACGTTATATATAAGTGAAACTTATAATTCAATAATAATTCAGTAAAATTGCAAGCAGAACTTTCGACATGCTTAAAAACAGAGCAGACTTTTGCAAAGAGGAATAGTGATACACTAAAGAATCTAGCTGATATGATTTGTGGAATGGTAAGTGGTTGAAATCATATCGTAGTGCTCAATACCAACTCCATAAGTATACCACTACACATATGTACATACCTCGATGATTTATTAGCATACAAGAACTGCGAAAAGTCTGTGTGTAATAATAAGTATATTTGTCTTATATACTTTTAATTAACAATTATTTATGTAATATGGAGACCTGTAATTAAACGGTGTCTTGTCGACAAGCATTAGAAGTGGCTTGTCCAATTTCGGCACCCATGGTAGTCCCCCGAGCTTAAAAAATTGCAGAAAGATCCCAGGAAGCAATTTAATATAGCTAAACTATCCCAAGTAGAGGAGGTTTGGGATAGCTGTTACAACCAGGGACCGTAAAAATTGATTACTGTTTTTAAATGAAAAAATTAAGCACTTAGAGTCGATATACAAAAAAACAGATAACGTCATGTTAATTCTTTTTCGACGATCAAAAGTGAGTTTTTATTTGAGTAAAAAAAATGAAAAACTCACATAAAATGAAAAAAAAGATAAGAAACCAAACAAGAAATTCTGGGAAAGCTTGCTGTAATTCTGTAGGCAACGTATACTAGCCAACAAGCTGTTTGAAGCCCTTCAAATCTCTAGGACTTGACGGTATATTTTCTCAATTACAATAGTCCCTGAGCTACATAACAGTCTGGTTAGTAACCATTCTCAAAGTAATATATACAGTTAGATACCCAGACGGGTAATTAAACACAGAAAAGTGGTAGTTTCACAGCATGCGTTTTTAAATGAATCCACAGAAACAACACTAAGCTTAGTCGTAGTAGGAGACTGGAGGTAAAAGAATATGCCCTCGGAACCTTCCTTGACATAGAACGCGCTTTCAATAACATCCAGCCTAAGGTCATACTGAGCGCGCTTAAAGTTTTCGGCATCTCCGAATTTCTCGTGAAATTGATTAAGCAGATGCTTTTGGGCATTCCATAATTTCAACGCTGGGAGTTTCAATGATGTGCAGATCTGTCCCAATAGGTACACCTCAAGGAGGCGTGTTATCTCCACTTCTGGACCTTAACAATGAATAAAATATTGTTAGATTTAGGAAAGAGAAGAGTACATGTTGTAGAATACGCTGATGATGGGGTTGTTTCGGTTAGAGGTAAATTCGCAAATATTCTCGCTAACTATTGTACCTATATGCAAATAAAATTAAACGACATTAATCGATGAGACGTATCATGCGAACTAAACATAAATGCTAGCAAGACAGAGCTAGTAACATAAGGTTCTCTAGAAAACACAGAATTCCCGAAGTTATGCCGCCATCAATATATGGAACTATAGGAGAGAAAGCAGCTCGTTGGGATCAATTTTAGACAGGAAGCTTTCATGGAAGCCAAACTTATACGCTAGGTTAAAGAAAGCAGCTACTGCTAAAATTAAACATAAATTCGGTCTCTAATATTGCTTTCCCTTCCCTTGCAGACACAGGGGTAAGTATCTATATGGATGGGTCTAAACTAAATAATCGAGTAGAGGATATCGTTTCAGCAAAATTGGATACCAAAATCGCCTTGCGACTACCAGACCACTGCAGTGTCTTTTAATCGAAGATCACAGCAATTAAAGAAAGTCTTCTTGTTCTGAAAACGAGTGTGCTCACAAGAAGAAATAGTCGCTTGGCTAGGCTTTGAAATTACGTAAGTTTCTTAGGTTTCTTAGTCATCGAAGATAGTGAAATAATGCTTTGATCTCTTCATAACTGTGAAGCAGATGCACTAGTCAGAGCAGGCACCATCCTCAAATTACACTCCGATAAAGAGGGAATATATATTCCTTTAGTTACTTGAATATATTTAATCGACAAACATGTTATAGATATAATTGAGTCTTGAAAGAAAGAAGCAGACAAGCGTGATATGAATGGAATATGGCCATACATGCCACCTATTGAAATTCAAAAGGAATGACATATGTACTCTAGTAGGATGCTAACAGGTTTTATTATTAGACAAGCCAGCAGACTATGAATACCACAAAACGACTATTGTATTGTAGAAGTTGTCAAAAGATAGAAAAAGAGGATACTATAGAACATCTTCTATGCTATTCTATTGTATAGGAAAATAATCACAATTGATTGTGCAGGTTACTTTAACAAAAACTAATATAGTGGTCTTCGACTTTCCGTTTGACTTATTACAGCATATAACAGTCAATACATTTTATATTTTTAAACTTAGAATGTGTTGCATATTTCAGTTGTATGTGGTGGTCTCACATTTTGCTTGCAAATAATTACCATGAATACGGTGAAACAATATGCATGATACCCGCTTAATAGTTTCAAAGAAATACTTAAGTTGCGAATTCCCTTATCCACCAGAATGTATTGAATACTCTACTACTAATATTTTCAAGGCCAATTTTATAACAGAAATTTCCTAATGGTTAGGAAAGTATTAAAAGTCCATAATTTTTTCACTCCGTATTTTTTTCTATTTATTCTAAAACATCCTTGAATTAATTACAATTCTTGTTTTAAAAAAAATGATATTCCAAGCATCTTAATATTTTATGTAAATATAAAAATGTAAAGTAACCATTTTTATTAGAATTCTTTAATGTATACTCGTATATTATTACAATACCGCTATATGCTATTAAAAATTTAAATTGAATATTTTTGAGTATCTTAATTTCTCCTTATTTAAAATTTTTCAAAATATTTGTATTATTCTATACATACACACTTGCACACATGCAACAATGGTATATATTCATTTGAAACCGAGCGCTCTTGCAACCATTAAAAGAATTGTTCTATTTGTACACACGATTTTTCACAATTTAGCTATAATTTTTCATAATCTAAAAGCTCAAAACTAAAATCCAACTATTCAAAATAGTTTACCTATTTATAAATAATTGTATTCGACTGTGATTTTGAGTTATTTTAAGAATATTTCAAATATATTCAAGTTCATTTTTTAATTACTACAAAATATCGAGTTTGACAACACTGCGTTGCAAGAGATTGCTCTCACTCTCTTCCAAAATCCAATTTTCGCAGATATCCTACCGTACGGTCTGTTGAAGCGGACGGTATAAGCGGTGGTGACTGTTCATTTACATTTCGCTCTCATGAGATAAGTCGTATCAGCTGATTCGGTCCACGGTTTTGCGTCGGTGACTGTTTGTGCCATTACTCGTGTACTAGCTCTGCACATCAATGTATAATCCTACAAGTAACGAAAGAATCAGCTGTTTTCCTAAGTGTGTAACACAGCTTAGATCACCTGATCGAAATCTGCCTTTTTTGGCACAGAGATTTAAATAAAGGAATGTAGTTTCATAACATTTTTGTGAACAGGTATTTGTAATGGAAAACATTAATGAAAACTTTCAAAAATATTTTCGAAACAAAAGTTTATTGCATATTTATTGTTTTTCCTCACCACCTCTGAGGGTGCAATGTAGGCGCTTTACCGATCTTTTTTGGGTGTTTGGTTCCCCAGGGAGCCTATATTCACCCATATAACACATATACATATATAATATAACTAGAAAAAATATATATACAAGTATAATATATAATATTTACAAAATATTCTAAATCACTCACAGCGATATACTTATTATATTATATGTAAATTAAATCTTTAGGAATTTTAATAATCGGAAAATATTTAAATATGTAATTAAAACTTTATTAAAGTTATAAATTTTAATATATAAAACGTTATTTTATTATATCATAATTTTAAAATATCATCACTGTTGTAGGTTTGAGTTATTAAAAAAAATAGATTTTGTATAAATATATGTTAAGTTCTTTCGCCTTCTAAAATATCAATGATAGTGGGATGACCAACTCTTTCCAGTGTATGAGCGCCTAAAAAGTAGCGGTTTTGACTTTGACAGTTGCGTGAGTTCAGGAGATTTTGACGTTTAGCAATTGTGCTCTCATTTCCAGTGAGAGATGAGTTGGGAATGTCTTTAGCCCTGGCAATGTGCTGATATGATTTGGTTTGAACCGAAGTCGGCCATACAGCTTACTCGATCGTGATTGCCGAAGAATAGATTGTTCGTGTTCGGTCAAATCAGTTGACGCTGGTCAGTACGTGAGTCGATCAACAATGTTGTGTATGATCAGCTGAATTGTTTTGATTGTGTTTTTGGCACGAGTGTTTGATCTGACTTAATCGTACTCATTGCAGCTTTCTGGTGTGTACTGTACGGCGTCTTTGAGGATGCGTATTCTCCACTAGGATAAATGTGGTGCAAAACCGATCCATGGTTCCTCAAATTACCGACTCTGATGGGCAATTATGTCGACCGAATATTAGACGCAGCACGCGATGCTTCGCCCTAACCCAACCATTATTTTGATAATAAATGTACACAATTTGCAAACGTTTTTCCAGAGCAACTCTGTTCATTATAAAATGATAAACCAAAATGAGTATAAATCAAGTAACAGATCAATTCCGAAAAAAGTATAGCCTCATTGAAAATCACATGTCTAAAGAAAAACCTTTTACATAACCCACCACTACATTTCTGGCTGGAAAAAGGTAAAAAAACAGTAGCTTTGCTATTCTAAAGAAGTTTTCTTCAGCTAATTTATCATTAGGTTTAGAACGATTGGAAGGCTTCCATTTTGAAAAAAGGTGTCCACAACATTTCTGAAGCTAGAGAAACTGGTAGAGGCCATTTGCTAAATTCAAATTAACCACAACCAATATATTCTTCTGTGTTCAGCTATTTTCCATAACAATCGTTGCAAATATGGTATACTTATCGCACTAATTTTTATATTCTTACAACATGTTGCTACAGAGTATAATAGTTTTGTTCACCTAAGGGTTGCTTGTATCACCTAAACTAATCGAAATAGATAAAGGGTTGGACCGGTATGAACTTTTTGTGAAAATAAAACACAAATTTTGAATGGGAAAGTAAAAAAAAATTATTCAAAATATTGACCATTGCTTTTTACACATTTTTACCACCTTTCTGGCAATTTGTGGATACCATACCAATAGGAATGTTCGTCTTTTGAATCAAACCAATCAGACACCCAATTTTCGACTTCCGCGTAGGAATCGAAAAGTTGCTCATAAAACGCGTGTTCCATCGATGAAAACAATTACCAACACGCAGGAACACGGAAAGGGCCAAGTCTGGTGAATAAGGCGGGTGGTATAGCAGCTCCCAGCCAAGTACTTTGATTGTATCCTAAACCAATTTTGCTTTATGTGTAGGTGTATTGTCGTGTAACTAAATTACTTTGCCGTGTCTCTTGGCCCATTCTGGTCGTTTTTCGATCAATGCATGGCTCAAATTGATCATTTGTTGTCTGTAGCGATTAGTACTAACAGTTTCACCAATTTTTAGAAGCTCATAATATACCACTCCCTTCTGATCCCACCAACAGAGAGCATTGCCTTCTTACCGAATCGATCTGGGTTTACCATGATTAACTCATGATTTTCTGCGCTAAGATTCTTTAAAGAAATCCATTTTTTATCGCCAGTGACAATTCGATGCAAAACTGATTTTTTGTCGTGTCTTTGAAGCCAAATTTCACACGTGTTTTTTCGGTTTTTTATTTGTCTTTCATTAATTAATGCTAGATTCATGTGACACCCATTTTCCACACTTTTGGACCTTTCGCATACCTTTCAAACGGTCCAGAATAGTGTGTTGTGCAACATTTAACAAGGCTGCTACTTGCTTTTGAGCCAAAGTATCATCTTCATCTAATATTGCGTGCAGTTCGGCGTCTTCAAACTTTTTGGGTGATCTTCGACGTTCTTCACTTCTCACATCAAAATCATTATCTCTGAAGCGTTGAAAACATCTTTTGCATGTTGCATTACAAGCATTTGATGTTACTCCGCAGCATTTTTCTTTAAATGCAAAACAAAAAATTAATGCTTTCCGCAAAACATCACTTTTCGGTACAAAGACATTTTCAACACAATAAATAAATATGATGTTGTTTGTTCAATGGCTGTAAGGTTATCATATATGTATGTTGGACAGATGTCTACCAAACAGAAAAAATTAAGGCTCGTTCACAACAAATGTTCCCTACCAACACATTTGTATGTTACCTTAACGCTCACTACATAGCGTGTCTATGTAAGCTCTAACTTGAGTAAAAATTGAGATATCGTAATAAAACTTCGTACACGTGTTCTTTGGCAAAAAAGTATGAACGAGTTCGTAGATATGCGTAATCGGCCGACTGTCACGTCTACAACACGCCATTAAACGAAAACCCACAAAGCAGGCTTTTTCAACCGGTGTGCCGCGACGATGCTTAATTGCAGTCATAAAAAAATATTTCGAAAAACATAAGACGCGTAGAGCTTGAGTAACAAAGCGAAGGATACGGAAGGGCGCGGGAGGGCGCGGGCGGGTGAAGCGGCGTCCGCCGGCCGGCCGTTGCTTGTCCTTGTTTTGTTTCATTCATTCGTCCACTTGTCGTGCTTTCGCGCAGTCTTGTACTCGTGTCACTTGTTCTTTGTTGGTCTCGCTGCATTATATCAAACTCGCTGTGTTTAGTGTGTGTATATTTGGGTTCTAACGAGACCTTCAACATGGATAAATTCGTAACCCATACGTCAACTGATGATCAACCGTCATCGAGTCAACCCGTCGTTAAAAAACAAAATGTTATGAATACTAAACGGCAATACCATGAAGACTATTTCAAGTTGGGGTTTACGTGCACAGGAGACAAAGACGAATCAAACCCTTCTTGTCTTGTTTGCGGCCAAAAATTATCGAATGAAGCAATGGTCCCTAGCAAATTAAAGAGACACCTCTCTCCAAAACATTCTCATCTCTTGGACAAGGACTTACAGTACTTTCAACGTTTGCTGAAATCTCAAGCCCAGCAATGTACAAGTCTTACCAAGACAATGACTATATCTGACAAGTGTCAAGAGGCAAGCTATCACGTGGCGGAGCTTATAGCAAAAAAAATTAAACCACATACTATAGCAGACAATTTAGTTTTGCCAGCTTGTCGTCAAATTGTGTAGACTTTATTTGGGGTTGAAGCTGAAAAGGAGGTGTTGAAAATTCCTCTGTCAGATAACACCATCAGCAGACGCATAGAACACATGTCAGAAGATATTGAAGCACATGTAATAGAAAAACTACGAATTGTTCGTACATTCGCCTTACAAGTTGATGAATCAACTGACATAAGTGGGAAGGCCCAGCTGCTGGCATTTATACGTACGGTCGTTGAAGATGACTTTATTGAAAACTTTTTTTGTTGCAAAGAACTGCACGAAACAACAAGAAGCGAAGACATATTTAATGTTTTGGATGCATATTTGAAATCCTCTGATTTATCATGGACCGATTGTATTGGAATATGTACCGACGGAGCACCTTCAATGACTGGTTCTGTAAAAGGGTTTGTTACTTTGGTGCAAGAAAGAAATCCAAATATTGTACTGACCCACTGCTTTATTCATAGGGAAGCATTGGTATCAAAAACTACCGAATGATTTCAAAACTGTTTTGGAAGATGTAGTAAGGGTTATAAATTTCATTAAGAGTCGTCCGTTGAAATCTAGATTATTTAAACAAATTTGCCAAGACATGGATGCAGCCCACTACACGTTGCTTCTTCACACCGAGGTAAGATGGCTCTCAAGAGGACGTATTTTGTCCCGCGTGTATGAACTTAAGGAAGAGTTATTAATATTCCTCACATTGGAGTCATCAGAGTTTGTTAATTTATTCAGCGACGATACATGGTGCACAAAATTGGCGTACTTGGCAGATTTATTCGAACATCTTAAATTAAATGCAGGTATGCAGGGACGAAATGAGAATATTCTGACGTCATCTGATAAAATAAAAGGTTTCGCAGAAAAATTAACGCTATGGAAAAATAATATTTGTCAGGGCACTCTGTCCATGTTCCCGCATACAGCGTCAAGAAATGTGGATTCTAGAATGAGATCATTGATAAGGGATTCAATAGAATTGTTAGAAAAAAATATAAGCAAATAATTTCCCAACATAGAGGTTGAAAATTTTGATTGGGTTCAATGTTTCACTCAGTAGCTTGGTTGGTTTTGAATTGGAAGAAAAAGAACAGTTTTGTGAGTTAAAAAATGACCGCACTTTGCTATTAAAATTACAGGAGTTGAATGTAAATAAGTTCTGGTTACACGTTTCAGCAGAATATCCAGAATTAAGTAAAAAAGCTCTCATTGCCCCTTTGCCGTTTTCGACATCTTACCTATGCGAACAAGAGTTTTCAGCATTGACAAACATAAAAAGTAAAAATCGCGAACGTCTGCTATCTGTTGAAGAAGAGCTTCGAGTATGTTTGTCGGCAATTCGCCCAAGAATAAAAAGCCTTTGCTCCACACGCCAGGCTCAAATATCGCATTAATTGATTATATCATGTTATTTAAAACTTATTAATGTAATTAATAATAATATTATTAAAACTTTATTTTCTCGAAAACATTTTATTTATTTATCTCAGTACATTACCTTGACAGGCTTAATCTAATTCGGTAGCATAACATGAATCAAGGCTAGAGGCCTTATACCTATGCCTACCGAATTTTTTATTGGTGTGCCGTGAAAGTTTACTGAAACTAAAAGTGTGCCGGTGAAAAAAAAGGTTGAAAAAGTCTGCTATAAAGTGTCATAACTAAGAACTGTAACTTGGCTCAGATAATCGCAGAAGCAAAAGTCATCCGTGAACTCTAAATTTTGAAAAAATGTGCGTGACCCCGCCCTCAAAGATTTAATGTTCATATCTCCAAACCATTCAAGCTAAAATAACTAAACTTGCGCGGGGCAGAACCCTTAAGCAGCGCTACCGACACTTTAAAAATAGATGAAATCCCCCCCACTTCCCAAATGACGGTACTGTTAAAAGCTACTTAAAGCGTGATAAATCAATGACTAAATACGCCGGAAACATTAAATTTTACCTTCAAGATGGTATACGAGGACTTTATAGTAGCCGTAGCCAAAATTGAACGATGGGCGTGGCACCGCCCACTATTAGGTGAAATCATATATCTCGGGACCTGCTGGACTGATTTCAAATTCGGTATATAACATTTTTCTGATATTCCTATTTTACAGTATGAAAATAGGTGAAATCGGATTTACAACCACGTCTACTTTCCATATAATACAATTTTTTAATTCATCTGATTCTTTCACTTTTCAGTATGCAAATCAAGCACCAATGAATTTATCGGGATAAAATTTTACACGAATATTGCCTTTAAAATATGCCACTTTCTTCTTTTTTTCTGGCGTAGACACCGCTTACGCGGTTATAGCCGAGTCAACAACAGCACGCCAGTCGTTTCCCTTTTAATACTCTGGCAACCTATTGCTACAGAGTATAATAGTTTTGTTCACCTAACGGTTGTTTGTATCACATAAAACTAATCGTGTTAGATATAGGGTTATATATATATAAATGATCAGGATGAAGAGACGAGTTGGGTGACTGTCTCTCCGTCCGACGGACGTCCGTGCAAGCTCTAACTTGAGTAAAAATTGAGATATCTTTATGAAACTTTGTAGGCATGTTTCTTGGTACCGGGAGACGGTTGATATTGCAGATGGGCGTAATCGGATCACTGCCACGCCCACAAAACGCCATTAATCAAAAACAAATAAATTGCCATAACTAAGCTCCGCAATAAGATACAAGACTGTTATTTGGTACACAGGATCACATTAAGGAGGGGCGTCTGCAGTTAAAATTTTTAAGTGGGCGTGGTCCCGCCCCTAAGAGGTTTAATGTGCATATCTCCTAAACTGCTAAAGCTATAATAACAAAATTCACTGGAAGCAAATGTTTTTAGCACCTCTACCTACGGTGTGAAAATGGGTGAAATCGAGTGACAACCCCGCCCACTCCCCATGTAACGGTACTGTTAAAAACTACTAAAAGCGCGATAAATCAAGCACGAAACACGGCAGAGACATTAAATTTTATCTCTGGGATGGTATGAGATGACTTTATAGGAAACGCGTTCAAAATTAGATAGTGGGCGTGACACCGCCCACTTTTAGGTGAAAACTTATATCTTGGGATCTGCTGAACCGATTTCAACCAGATTCGGTGTATAACGTTCTTATTATATTTCAATGTCATAGTGCGAAAATGGGCGAAATCGGACTACAACCACGCCTATTTCCCATATAACACCATTTTTAATTCCATCTGATTCTTTCACTTTCCACTTTGCATATCAAGTAACAATGATTATATCGGGGTAAAACTTTGCGTGAATAATACGTTTATAGTATGCCACCTTGTGACCAAAAATTGTCTAAATCGAACCAAAACTATTCAAGCCCCTAAGTACTAAATATGTGGATCTCAGTGCCTATAGTTGACCTTCTACCGAAAATATCAGTCAATCCACAAAGAAATCACAAACGAGTATACCATTTGACTTTGCGAGAGTATAAAATGTTCGGTTACATCCGAACTTAACCTTTCCTTACTTGTTTCTATTTGGCGTCAAATCGAGATACCAAGTGCAGCCAGGTCCTTCTCTACCTGATCTCTCCAACGAAGTGTAGGTCTTCCTTTTACTCTGCTTCCACTGGCGGGTACTGAATCAAATACTTTCAGTGCTGGAGTGTTCTCATCCATCCGGACAACATAACCTTATGACCAAAAATTGCCCAAATCGAAACCCATATACCTCGGTCAATATGTGAGTTATCTCAATGAAAATTAAAGAGCGTATTTTACTCATAACAGTGTATCTTTGTGCCTAAAATGGATAAAATTGGGTCAAAACTTTACCTAGCCCCCATATAACTAATATCAGGATTCACGAACATCCAGCAAACTTTATTCCATACGATAGGTGATTGTATGTGAGGTACCTTAATGAAACTAAGGGAGTATTTTATTAGTATGTGGCATGTTGACCTTCAATATAAGTGTATATTCACCAAATATTATTGCAATTTATGCACGATTTCACCGAATAATGGATGTTTGATTCTTTCGCAACATGTTGTAAAATACATTTTTGCTAGAGTTGAAAGAGTATAAAATGTTCGGTTACATCCGAGCTTAGCGCTTCCTTACTTGTTTATCATTTTTTTGATGTTAGGGTAATTCGTGGAATCCAGCTACAATAAACTACTTATAATGGTTTTCGTAATTCTAGCAGATTTTATACCGAATATATCGGTCAATGTGTGAGTTATCTTAATAAAATTGCTCGGAAACATGTTCTCAACTTGTGTAATGCTAAAAGTTAATAACATATGTCCAGACCTTCCTCTATCCTATATAGTGATTTCTGACTTTCCAGATTACTTTAAGTCCGATGTAGCGATATCCGAATTTTTAGCTAACTTAAAACCGTTTATGTTGGTCAAAATGTGAGATGTTTTACGGCAAGAAAATAGGCATGTATTCCTAAATATAATGTGGTTTAGTGCTGAATATGAACGAAATAGGTCTAGCCTTTGGTCTAACCCCATAATCCTAAAATATAGTGATATCCAAAATTAATATTACAATGGTGCCTTTGAAATCTAAGCCAAGATTGTTAAAAAACTTCCGTGGAGGTAATTTTATTTTTATCTTTACTTTTACTGATCCTTTCTTTTATACACTGACAATTTTAACATAAATCTTAAAATAGTAATAGATTTATTGAAAATAATTTTAAAGTTAAATGAAGTCTTCTAATACTTTGCTTGTAGTCGAACCAGGAATTTGTCTATGATGATATTTATAATAGAAATTCTGAGTCTAACCCTTTCTGTCAAGCCATCATTAAAATGAAATACGATTTCCAGGAAAAGGAACGTAAACTTATGAATAGTTTATCAATAAAACACGAACAGGTGAGTAGTTTCCTTATTTAGTTAGTGCTTAGTAAAGCTGTATTATTATATGCAACAGCTAGCCAAACTGCAGAAATCTCAAATTTGCAATCAGCATGAACTCAAACAATTAGACAGCAGCACCACATTGGTAAGTCTTAATTTGCTGGCACTAAAGTCGGTGCATATAGTTTTGTTATCAGTTAGGATGATACTCTTGTATCGATCCTGGATGACTGATATTGGACTAAATAAAAGAAGATATCACTAAATAAAAGAATCAGATCTTTATTTAGACTGCCTTTTATTTTTCGTTTGGAATTTCTTATATTCTAATTTGATGTGCACGCAGGCACTTATAAGTATGTATGTTTACTTATCCCTAGGCATCCTATCAAATTACTTGCATCCTATAACTGATAAAACTGAACATGTGCACGTAGGCACTTGTAAATATGTTGGTTTATCTCTAGGTATCAGATTATATTATTACTATTTATGATTACATTTGCATTTATGTGTGCTTACATTGTTGTTTCTGTTTTATTTTGTTCTGAATTTAACAATGGGCGTATTATATTGTTTCTTTTCTGCGTGTCTTTTTTTATTTGAAGGAGATTGAATTAGCAATTCTACGTTTACATTTGTATTTTAATTTTTCTTATTTTTATTATATATTATACCTTTTATCAACATTCCTATTGCTATTAATAGTATTATTAGTGCGCTTATGCTATAACTTATATTTCTATGTAGTGTTAATTCTTCCAGTTTATTTATATTTTTCTCTTGATTTATTATTATTTCTGAGAAACTTATTACTTTTTCAAACTGTTATCCATCGGTTTCTTTTTCAGGGTAAATATATTTTTCCTCTACTATAATTTTATTGTTTTGTAGTGTTTTGTTTCGTATCTCAATTTTACAATTATAAAAATTTATTAGTGCATTTCCTTCAAGTATAATTTCTCTTTTGTCGCAGTTTTGTTTAATTTCTATTTTATATGAATTTTTTATTAGGATTGTATCATCTTCGATATCATCGATTATTGTTTCGTTATTATATTCAAATTTACATTGGTTGGACGGACAAATGTTAATTTATTTCAGATTTTTGAAATGTGTCCCTTTTGTATATTTATATATTTTATTTCCTATTGTAATTGCATATTTCTGTTCTCCTATCATTTCAAAATATTACCTATTAGGTATAGGAGTTTTCGCCATTATGATCCTGAAATTTAAATTTTCGTTTGACTTGAGTCTTGTATGCTTTAGTTTCCCTATTCTTTAAAATTGTCTATTCTCTTGTATCTTGGTTGTGCTTTGCTAACTTTATGATTCTTTATATATTTATTCTGGAAATCTTGTGTGTTTATTCAATTTTCTTTTTTATTAATAGTATTTATTACATTTTCTTTCTGCTTTTGTAGGTTTTTCCGCGAGTCTCATAAGTTCTTGTTCGGAAAGTAGGTTATTTATGAAATCAATTGGTCTCTTTTTTATCGTAGAATGTATAGTATTATTATAGGCAGTTATTGCTTTGAATACTTTTTCTTTCAAATTGTCATTGTTGTTTGCATCAGCATTAAAAAGTCTTAAGTGTTCATTCAAAGTGGAGTGCAATCTTTCAACATCTGCTTTTCCTGTTTTATTATAAGTGGTCGTTAGGTGTTTGTTTATTTTATTGTCCTTTAAGAAATGTTTTATTGGTACTGTATCTAATTCGTTGTCTGTTACTAAAGTTTCCGGTTTGGCTAAATATTGAATTTACAATTGATATCCAAGTTCTATCCTTTAATGATTTAGCTGTTGCATATTTTGTTAGTTTATCGATACTTGTAAGGTACATTACGCCTTTTTGTGGGTACCAAATATCAAAATGAACAATTTCGTTATGTTTTTTAGGAGTTTCCGTAATATTTAAATTATGTTTGATAGGGTTTCTATCGAACTTCGCTTTATTACATATTTCACAATTATTGATGTATTTCTGTATTTCTTATTGTAATTTGGGGTAATAGTGTGTTTTCTTTATTTCTTCTGATATTTCATTTATTCCCTTGATTATTTTCAAGTGTTTCTCTTCTATCAATGTTAAAATTTCTCCTTTGTCTGTTATATCTTTTAAAATTATGTTTGCTTTCATTATTTTTAGGTTTGCATTATTGCGAAAAATGTATATATAACTCTTGAAATTGTAGAAATAATTTGTCATCTGGGCGTAAATTACGACTAATCCTTTTCAGGTAGATGCATGATAATATTTTATACTCTCGCAACCTGTTGCTACAGAGTATAATAGTTTTGTTCACCTACGGTTGTTTGTATCCCTAAAATTAATCGAGTTAGATATAGGTTTATATATATAAATGATCAGGATGAAGAGACGAGTTGAAATCGGGTGACTGTCTGTCCGTCCGTCCGTCTGTCCGTCCGCCGTCCGTCCGTGCAAGCTCTAACTTGAGTAAAATTGAGATATCTTTATGAAACTTGGTAGACATGTTTCATGGTACCGTGAGACGGTTGGTATTGCAGATGGGCGTAATCGGACGACTGCCACGCCCAAAAACGCCAATAATCAAAACAAATAACTTGCCATAACTAAGCTCCGCAATAAGATACGAGACTGTTATTTGGTACAGGATCACATTAGGAAGGCATCTGCAGTTAATTTTTAAAAGTGGGCGTGGTCCGCCTCTAATAGGTTTAATGTGCATATCTCCTAAACCGCTAATGCTATAATAACAAAAATTCGCTGGAAGCAAATGTTTTAGCATTTCTATTGACGGTGTGAAAATAGTTGAAATCGGGTGGCAACTCCGCCACTCCCCATATAACGGTACTGTTAAAACTACTAAAGCGCGATAAATCAAGCACTAAACACGCCAGAGACATTAAATTTTATCTCTAAGATGGTATGGATGACTTTATAGGAACCGCGTTCAAAATAGACAGTGGGCGTGGCACAGCCCACTTTAGGTGAAACCCATATCTTGAGATCGCTCAACCGATTTCAACCAAATTCGGTGCATAACGTTCTTTTCATGTTTCTATGTCATAGTGTGAAAATGGGCGAAATCGGACTACAACCACGCTTACTTCCCATGTAACACCATATTCAATTCTGATTCTTTCACTTTCCACTATGCAAATCAGGTAACAATGATTATATCAGGGTAAAACTTTGCGTGAATAATGCAATTAAAGTATGCCACTTGCGGCCAAAATTGTCTAAATCGAACCAAAACTGTTCAAACCCTAAGTACTAATAATGTGGACCCCAGTGCCTATAGTTGACCTTCTACCGAAAATATCAGTCAATACACAAAGAAATCTCAAACGAGTATACCATTTGACTTTGCGAGAGTATAAAATGTTCGGTTACATCCGAACTTAGCCCTTCCTTACTTGTTAAAATATCGTTTTCATTTGTTACTGAATAAAAACTTGCACCCGATATATTAAGATGCACATCCCACGTTAACAGCAACCAAACAATTAAAGAATTAAAATATTATTTGTATTTAGTTAAACCATTTAGTTTATTATTCAAATTGTACACAATAAAATTCCTTAATATACATGTTTATATATTGAACAATTTATAATATAGGATCGGTAACGTATCGAAGTATTACGCGCAGGAGCTTTCGTATCGAATTTTAGGTGTTGACGCTGCGCAGTGTAGAATTAAAAAATTAAGTTGCGCGCAGGATCGCTATTACTTCGAATGAGCAGAAAAAACTGCGCTGATCATTCCTTTTGTTAGCTGGTGATGTACACGCGCGGTGTTGTGGTGTGTTATACTGTCCTATGTGGTGTCATCTGGTGTGGTGTATTGGTGAGAATGTGGTGGGCATTATTAGGGTGCGCCAGTTTTACCGAGTAGAGTGGTGTGGCTATTTACTGAGGCTTAGCTCATTTAAACATCCTGGGCCCCCTAGGCGAATATTTTGCCTAGTGTTGCACATATTTGCAGTAAATGTTCCAGGTATCTCGGCATTTTGCTGGAGTAGCAGAGCGCGCGGTATGCATGATAATGCAGTAGTGGTAGATCCATATTTACCTGTACATGTAGGATGGAATTTTGATTTTGAAATGGGTTTATGTGTTTTGATATGGAAGTTAGTGCGTTAACCAAGCAACGTTGTTTTGCATTTATTAGAGTGACGACGTATTATTAGACGGTATAATTTTGTTTATTAATTTTATTGCCGGTTATCTATTATTACTTTATTATCGGCTTATAGGATGGCGACTCCACGCCTAGCTCAGATATGGCCAGAATGGGTGCTCCATTGAAACCTTTGAAGAGGGATATTGCGAGCGTAAGATTTGTGATTTACGGCTACTTTTTAAGTAGATTTGTACAAGTATTACAAGTATTTCCCATAAACCACCAATAGGGGGAGGGCCATCCTGCGGAGTCGAAAAGTTACATATTTGTGTTTTTAAAACTGATCTTGTCAGAAGGGACTCTGACTTTGCCTTTTCTGCCAATTCGTGCAGTGTTGGAACATTGTGAACTTGGTGGTAGTAGTATGACGTACCGGCCATTATTTGATCGAGTAGTTGTGGCTTTGTAGAAGTCTTCACAATACTGATCTTCTGGGGTTGTAATTGATATGAGGTGGCATTTTTCTAACTCCCGAAATTTCATTGATTGTGAATTAAGGTATTCTTTGAATTCTCGTCAACTTGAGTTCTTGATGTGGAAACTGGGTCTGGAACTAGTCCACTTAGAATCCAACCAAATGTAGTGTGTTGTGCCAATAGTGTATTTGAAATTTTCTCACTACCTTCGAGTATTATCTGTGGTATGAGATCGCTACATATTAGAATATCTTTTTGAGCGGGGGCGTTGCAGTTGGGATCTGCTAGCTTTAGGTGTGAAACCTTTTGCCAATGCTTGCTATTTATGTGATAACTTGGAAGCTTGTTTGTAAGTTGCGGTAAGACTATAGCTTCTGCTTTAATTCTCTTATCCGCTTGGGGGAAATTAAGGTAATGGGGCAGAAGGATTAAGGTAATGGGGCAGATTATATTCCGCCCATTCCTTTAATTTCAAAGTTGGCTTGTTTTGTTGGCAGTTGTAGCCTATTTTGTGTCCTAGACGCTATAAATGATCGTTGTGATCCTTGGTCTATTAAGGCCCTAAGTTTAAACAGTTCTCCTCGGTGTTCGATGGAGATGACTGCTGCGGGTAGTAATACCCTATTTTGTATTTCGCTGTGTAGCGTTTGAGTTTTTTGTGCCTTTGAGCAACATGGTGTCTTTTGGCAATTTTC